TAACCTGTGTGTACCTGTGATAACCTGTGTGTAGCAGGCCGTGTGCGCCCCCAGTCGCACGTCCCTCCTGACCTCCCGTGTGTGTACCTGTGATAACCTGTGTGTACCTGTGATAACCTGTGTGTACCTGTGATAACCTGTGTGTAGCAGGCCGTGTGCGCCCCCAGTCGCACGTCCCTCCTGACCTCCCGTGTGTGTACCTGTGATAACCTGTGTGTACCTGTGATAAGCTCTGTGTACCTGTGATAACCTGTGTGTAGCAGGCCGTGTGCGCCCCCAGTCGCACGTCCCTCCTGACCTCCCGTGTGTGTACCTGTGATAACCTGTGTGTACCTGTGATAACCTGTGTGTAGCAGGCCGTGTGCGCCCCCAGTCGCACGTCCCTCCTGACCTCCCGTGTGTGTACGTGTGATAACCTGTGTGTACCTGTGATAACCTGTGTGTACCTGTGATAACCTGTGTGTAGCAGGCCGTGTGCGCCCCCAGTCGCACGTCCCTCCTGACCTCCCGTGTGTGTACCTGTGATAACCTGTGTGTACCTGTGATAACCTGTGTGTACCTGTGATAACCTGTGTGTACCTGTGATAACCTGTGTGTAGCAGGCCGTGTGCGCCCCCAGTCGTACGTCCCTCCTGACCTCCCGTGTGTGTACCTGTGATAACCTGTGTGTACCTGTGATAACCTGTGTGTAGCAGGCCGTGTGCGCCCCCAGTCGCACGTCCCTCCTGACCTCCAGTGTGTGTACCTGTGATAACCTGTGTGTACCTGTGATAACCTGTGTGTGCGCCCCCAGTCGCACGTCCCTCCTGACCTCCCGTGTGTGTACCTGTGATAACCTGTGTGTACCTGTGATAACCTGTGTGTAGCAGGCCGTGTGCGCCCCCAGTCGCACGTCCCTCCTGACCTCCCGTGTGTGTACCTGTGATAACCTGTGTGTACCTGTGATAACCTGTGTGTAGCAGGCCGTGTGCGCCCCCAGTCGCACGTCCCTCCTGACCTCCTGTGTGTGTACCTGTGATAACCTGTGTGTACCTGTGATAACCTGTGTGTACCTGTGATAACCTGTGTGTAGCAGGCCGTGTGCGCCCCCAGTCGCACGTCCCTCCTGACCTCCTGTGTGCGTACCTGTGATAACCTGTGTGTACCTGTGATAACCTGTGTGTAGCAGGCCGTGTGCGCCCCCAGTCGTACGTCCCTCCTGACCTCCTGTGTGTGTACCTGTGATAACCTGTGTGTACCTGTGATAACCTGTGTGTACCTGTGATAACCTGTGTGTACCTGTGATAACCTGTGTGTACCTGTGATAACCTGTGTGTACCTGTGATAACCTGTGTGTAGCAGGCCGTGTGCGCCCCCAGTCGCACGTCCCTCCTGACCTCCCGTGTGTGTACCTGTGATAACCTGTGTGTACCTGTGATAACCTGTGTGTAGCAGGCCGTGTGCGCCCCCAGTCGCACGTCCCTCCTGACCTCCTGTGTGTGTACCTGTGATAACCTGTGTGTACCTGTGATAACCTGTGTGTACCTGTGATAACCTGTGTGTAGCAGGCCGTGTGCGCCCCCAGTCGCACGTCCCTCCTGACCTCCCGTGTGTGTACCTGTGATAACCTGTGTGTACCTGTGATAACCTGTGTGTACCTGTGATAACCTGTGTGTAGCAGGCCGTGTGCGCCCCCAGTCGCACGTCCCTCCTGACCTCCTGTGTGTGTACCTGTGATAACCTGTGTGTACCTGTGATAACCTGTGTGTAGCAGGCCGTGTGCGCCCCCAGTCGCACGTCCCTCCTGACCTCCTGTGTGTGTACCTGTGATAACCTGTGTGTACCTGTGATAACCTGTGTGTAGCAGGCCGTGTGCGCCCCCAGTCGCACGTCCCTCCTGACCTCCTGTGTGTGTACCTGTGATAACCTGTGTGTACCTGTGATAACCTGTGTGTAGCAGGCCGTGTGCGCCCCCAGTCGTACGTCCCTCCTGACCTCCTGTGTGTGTACCTGTGATAACCTGTGTGTACCTGTGATAACCTGTGTGTAGCAGGCCGTGTGCGCCCCCAGTCGCACGTCCCTCCTGACCTCCCGTGTGTGTACCTGTGATAACCTGTGTGTACCTGTGATACCCTGTGTGTAGCAGGCTGTGTGCGCCCCCAGTCGTACGTCCCTCCTGACCTCCCGTGTGTGTACCTGTGATAACCTGTGTGTACCTGTGATAACCTGTGTGTACCTGTGATAACCTGTGTGTAGCAGGCCGTGTGCGCCCCCAGTCGCACGTCCCTCCTGACCTCCTGTGTGTGTACCTGTGATAACCTGTGTGTACCTGTGATAACCTGTGTGTAGCAGGCCGTGTGCGCCCCCAGTCGTACGTCCCTCCTGACCTCCTGTGTGTGTACCTGTGATAACCTGTGTGTACCTGTGATAACCTGTGTGTAGCAGGCCGTGTGCGCCCCCAGTCGTACGTCCCTCCTGACCTCCTGTGTGTGTACCTGTGATAACCTGTGTGTACCTGTGATAACCTGTGTGTAGCAGGCCGTGTGCGCCCCCAGTCGTACGTCCCTCCTGACCTCCTGTGTGTGTACCTGTGATAACCTGTGTGTACCTGTGATAACCTGTGTGTAGCAGGCCGTGTGCGCCCCCAGTCGTACGTCCCTCCTGACCTCCTGTGTGTGTACCTGTGATAACCTGTGTGTACCTGTGATACCCTGTGTGTAGCAGGCCGTGTGCGCCCCCAGTCGTACGTCCCTCCTGACCTCCCGTCGTCCAGACTCCACACGTCTGTATGACTTCGGCTCTTACTGGAGAACACACGCCGGGAACTACACCACTCTGCCCCAGTTCTTTAAGGAGCGAGGCTACTACAGCAAGGCCATCGGGAAGGTGTTCCATCCAGGTACTCTGTGAGGTGCTCTGTGAGGTACTCTGTGTGGTACTCTGTGTGTGCTCTGTGTGCTCTGTGAGGTACTCTGTGAGGTACTCTGTGTGCTCTGTGAGGTACTCTGTGTGCTCTGTGAGGTACTCTGTGAGGTCTGTGAGGTACTCTGTGAGGTACTCTGTGTGCTCTGTGAGGTACTCTGTGTGCTCTGTGAGGTGCTCTGTGAGGTACTCTGTGAGGTGCTCTGTGAGGTACTCTGTGTGCTCTGTGAGGTGCTCTGTGAGGTGCTCTGTGTGGTACTCTGTGTGCTCTGTGAGGTACTCTGTGTGCTCTGTGAGGTACTCTGTGAGGGACTCTGTGAGGTACTCTGTGTGCTCTGTGAGGTACTCTGTGAGGGACTCTGTGAGGTACTCTGTGTGCTCTGTGAGGTACTCTGTGTGCTCTGTGAGGTACTCTGTGAGGTACTCTGTGAGGTGCTCTGTGTGCTCTGAGGTACTCTGTGAGGTGCTCTGTGTGCTCTGTGAGGTACTCTGTGTGTGCTCTGTGAGGTACTCTGTGAGGTACTCTGTGTGCTCTGTGAGGGACTCTGTGAGGTACTCTGTGAGGTACTCTGTGTGCTCTGTGAGGTACTCTGTGTGCTCTGTGAGGGACTCTGTGAGGTACTCTGTGTGCTCTGTGAGGTACTTTGTGAGGTACTCTGTGTGCTCTGTGAGGTACTTTGTGAGGTACTCTGTGTGCTCTGTTTGAGGTACTCTGTGTGGTCTGTGGTCTCTCTGGTCTCTCTCTGGTCTCTCTCTGGTCTCTCTCTGGTCTCTCTCTGGTCTCTCTCTCTGGTCTCTCTCTGGTCTCTCTCTCTGGTCTCTCTCTCTGGTCTCTCTCTCTGGTCTCTCTCTGGTCTCTCTCTGGTCTCTCTCTGGTCTCTCTCTCTGGTCTCTCTCTGGTCTCTCTCTGGTCTCTCTCTGGTCTCTCTCTCTGGTCTCTCTCTGGTCTCTCTCTCTGGTCTCTCTCTGGTCTCTCTCTCTGGTCTCTCTCTGGTCTCTCTCTCTGGTCTCTCTCTGGTCTCTCTCTGGTCTCTCTCTGGTCTCTCTCTGGTCTCTCTCTCTGGTCTCTCTCTGGTCTCTCTCTGGTCTCTCTCTGGTCTCTCTCTCTGGTCTCTCTCTGGTCTCTCTCTCTGGTCTCTCTCTGGTCTCTCTCTCTGGTCTCTCTCTGGTCTCTCTCTCTGGTCTCTCTCTGGTCTCTCTCTTCAGTGGCTGCTTTTCTTCTGCAGGCATTGCTTCAAACCACTCTGATGACTTCCCGTACAGTTGGTCTGTTCCTGCCTTCCACCCGCCCTCGTTCAGCTTCGAGAAGAAGAAGGTAACACTGCCTCACAGGAGCAGGAGGAGGAGGAGCAGGAGGAGGAGGAGCAGGAGGAGGAGGAGCAGGAGGAGGAGGAGCGGGAACATGAGGAGGAGCAGGAGGAGGAGCAGGAGGAGGAGGAGCAGGAGGAGGAGGAGGAGGAGCAGGAGGAGGAGCAGGGGGAGGAGGGAGGAGGAGCAGGGGGAGGAGGAGGAGGAGCAGGAGGAGGAGGAGCAGGAGGAGGAGCGGGAGGAGGAGGAGCAGGAGGAGGAGGAGCAGGAGGAGGAGGAGGAGCAGGGGGAGGAGGAGGAGGAGCAGGAGGAGGAGGAGCAGGAGGAGGAGGAGCAGGAGGAGGAGCGGGAGGAGGAGGAGCAGGGGGAGGAGGAGGAGGAGCAGGAGGAGGAGGAGCAGGAGGAGGAGCGGGAGGAGGAGGATCAGTCATACTCTGATCGGTCACCTCCTCTCTCCTCTGTAGTCACCTCCTCCTCTCCTCTGTAGTCACCTCCTCTCTCCTCTGTAGTCACCTCTCTCCTCTGTAGTCACCTCCTCCTCTCCTCTGTAGTCACCTCCTCTCTCCTCTCTAGTCACCTCCTCTCTCCTCTGTAGTCACCTCCTCTCTCCTCTGTAGTCACCTCCTCCTCTCCTCTGTAGTCACCTCCTCTCCTTTCTCTCCTTGTTTCACCTCCTTTCCCCTCTGTGGTTACCTCCTCTCCCCTCTGTCGTCTGGGTGCAGGTGTGCAGAGGAGCAGACCACCTCCTCCATGCGAACCTCCTCTGTGCTGTGGAGGTGCAGGAGCAGCCCATGAAGACTCTCCCAGACATGGAGAGCACAGAGGAGGCGCTCCGCTTCCTGCGCTCCAGACTCAACCAGGAGCAGAACCAGGAGCAGAACCAGGAGCAGAACCAGGAGCAGAACCAGGAGCAGCCTTTCTTCTTAGCTGTGGGCTTCCACAAACCACACATACCCTTCAGGATCCCACAGGTACTGCAGGGGGAGGGGGGGGACTGTCTTTCATGGTCTCTCTTTCTGGTCTCTGATGGTCTCTCTTTCTGGTCTCTGATGGTGTCTCTCTCTCTGATGGTGTCTCTCTCTGGTCTCAGGAGTTCTTGGGTCTCTACCCTCTGGAGGACATGTCTCTGATGGTGTCTCTCTCTCTGGTCTCAGGAGTTCTTGGGTCTCTACCCTCTGGAGGACATGTCTCTGATGGTGTCTCTCTCTCTGATGGTGTCTCACTCTCTGGTCTCAGGAGTACCTGGGTCTCTACCCTCTGGAGGACATGTCTCTGATGGTGTCTCTCTCTCTGGTCTCAGGAGTACCTGGGTCTCTACCCTCTGGAGGACATGTCTCTGATGGTGTCTCTCTCTCTGGTCTCAGGAGTACCTGGGTCTCTACCCTCTGGAGGACATGTCTCTGATGGTGTCTCTCTCTCTGGTCTCAGGAGTACCTGGGTCTCTACCCTCTGGAGGACATGTCTCTGATGGTGTCTCTCTCTCTGATGGTGTCTCACTCTCTGGTCTCAGGAGTACCTGGGTCTCTACCCTCTGGAGGACATGTCTCTGATGGTGTCTCTCTCTCTGGTCTCAGGAGTACCTGGGTCTCTACCCTCTGGAGGACATGTCTCTGATGGTGTCTCTCTCTCTGGTCTCAGGAGTACCTGGGTCTCTACCCTCTGGAGGACATGTCTCTGATGGTGTCTCTCTCTCTGGTCTCAGGAGTACCTGGGTCTCTACCCTCTGGAGGACATGTCTCTGATGGTGTCTCTCTCTCTGGTCTCAGGAGTTCTTGGGTCTCTACCCTCTGGAGGACATGTCTCTGATGGTGTCTCTCTCTCTGATGGTGTCTCACTCTCTGATGGTGTCTCTCTCTCTGATGGTGTCTCTCTCTCTGGTCTCAGCAGTACCTGGGTCTCTACCCTCTGGAGGACATGTCTCTGATGGTGTCTCACTCTCTGGTCTCAGGAGTACCTGGGTCTCTACCCTCTGGAGGACATGTCTCTGATGGTGTCTCTCTCTCTGGTCTCAGGAGTTCTTGGGTCTCTACCCTCTGGAGGACATGTTTGTGATGGTGTCTCTCTCTCTGATGGTGTCTCACTCTCTGATGGTGTCTCTCTCTCTGATGGTGTCTCTCTCTCTGGTCTCAGCAGTACCTGGGTCTCTACCCTCTGGAGGACATGTCTCTGATGGTGTCTCTCTCTCTGGTCTCAGCAGTACCTGGGTCTCTACCCTCTGGAGGACATGTTTGTGATGGTGTCTCTCTCTCTGATGGTGTCTCACTTTCTGATGGTGTCTCTCTCTCTGATGGTGTCTCAATCTCTGATGGTGTCTCTCTCTCTGATGGTGTCTCACTCTCTGATGGTGTCTCTCTCTCTCTGATGGTGTCTCTCTCTGATGGTGTCTCCCTCACTGATGGTGTCTCTCTCTCTGATGGTGTCTCCCTCACTGATGGTGTCTCTCTCTCTGATGGTGTCTCTCTCTCTGGTCTCAGGAGTTCTTGGGTCTCTACCCTCTGGAGGACATGTCTCTGATGGTGTCTCTCTCTCTGGTCTCAGGAGTACCTGGGTCTCTACCCTCTGGAGGACATGTCTCTGATGGTGTCTCTCTCTGGTCTCAGGAGTACCTGGGTCTCTACCCTCTGGAGGACATGTCTCTGATGGTGTCTCTCTCTCTGATGGTGTCTCACTCTCTGGTCTCAGGAGTTCTTGGGTCTCTACCCTCTGGAGGACATGTCTCTGATGGTGTCTCTCTCTCTGGTCTCAGGAGTTCTTGGGTCTCTACCCTCTGGAGGACATGTCTCTGATGGTGTCTCTATCTCTGGTCTCAGGAGTTCTTGGGTCTCTACCCTCTGGAGGACATGTCTCTGATGGTGTCTCTCTCTCTGATGGTGTCTCTCCCTCTGGTCTCAGGAGTTCTTGGGTCTCTACCCTCTGGAGGACATTTCTCTGATGGTGTCTCTCTCTCTGGTCTCAGGAGTTCTTGGGTCTCTACCCTCTGGAGGACATGTCTCTGATGGTGTCTCTCTCTCTGGTCTCAGGAGTTCTTGGGTCTCTACCCTCTGGAGGACATGTTGGTGATTGTGTCTCTCTCTGATGGTGTCTCACTTTCTGATGGTGTCTCTCTCTCTGATGGTGTCTCTCTCTCTCCAGCCTCTGATGGTGTCTCTCTCTCTGATGGTGTCTCTCTCTCTCCAGCCTCTGATGGTGTCTCTCTCTCTCCAGCCTCTGATGGTGTCTCTCTCTCTCCAGCCTCTGATGGTGTCTCTCTCTCTGGTCTCAGCAGTACCTGGGTCTCTACCCTCTGGAGGACATGTTGGTGATTGTGTCTCTCTCTGATGGTGTCTCACTTTCTGATGGTGTCTCTCTCTCTGATGGTGTCTCAATCTCTGATGGTGTCTCTCTCTCTCCAGCCTCTGATGGTGTCTCTCTCTCTCCAGCCTCTGATGGTGTCTCTCTCTCTCCAGCCTCTGATGGTGTCTCTCTCTCCAGCCTCTGATGGTGTCTCTCTCTCTGATGGTGTCTCTCTCTCTGGTCTCAGGAGTTCTTGGGTCTCTACCCTCTGGAGGACATGTCTCTGATGGTGTCTCTCTCTCTGGTCTCAGGAGTTCTTGGGTCTCTACCCTCTGGAGGACATGTCTCTGATGGTGTCTCTCTCTCTGGTCTCAGGAGTTCTTGGGTCTCTACCCTCTGGAGGACATGTCTCTGATGGTGTCTCTCCCTCTGGTCTCAGGAGTTCTTGGGTCTCTACCCTCTGGAAGACATGTCTCTGATGGTGTCTCTCTCTCTGATGGTGTCTCTCTCTCTGGTCTCAGCAGTACCTGGGTCTCTACCCTCTGGAGGACATGTTTGTGATGGTGTCTCTCTCTCTGATGGTGTCTCACTTTCTGATGGTGTCTCTCTCTCTGATGGTGTCTCATGGTGTCTGATCTCTGTCTCTCCTCTGATGGTGTCTCTCTCTCTGATGGTGTCTCTCTCTCTCCAGCCTCTGATGGTGTCTCTCTCTGATGGTGTCTCCCTCACTGATGGTGTCTCTCTCTCTGATGGTGTCTCCCTCACTGATGGTGTCTCTCTCTCTGATGGTGTCTCTCTCTCTGGTCTCAGGAGTTCTTGGGTCTCTACCCTCTGGAGGACATGTCTCTGATGGTGTCTCTCTCTCTGGTCTCAGGAGTACCTGGGTCTCTACCCTCTGGAGGACATGTCTCTGATGGTGTCTCTCTCTGGTCTCAGGAGTACCTGGGTCTCTACCCTCTGGAGGACATGTCTCTGATGGTGTCTCTCTCTCTGATGGTGTCTCACTCTCTGGTCTCAGGAGTTCTTGGGTCTCTACCCTCTGGAGGACATGTCTCTGATGGTGTCTCACTCTCTGGTCTCAGGAGTTCTTGGGTCTCTACCCTCTGGAGGACATGTCTCTGATGGTGTCTCTCTCTCTGGTCTCAGGAGTACCTGGGTCTCTACCCTCTGGAGGACATGTCTCTGATGGTGTCTCTCTCTCTGGTCTCAGGAGTTCTTGGGTCTCTACCCTCTGGAGGACATGTCTCTGATGGTGTCTCTCTCTCTGATGGTGTCTCTCCCTCTGGTCTCAGGAGTTCTTGGGTCTCTACCCTCTGGAGGACATGTCTCTGATGGTGTCTCTCTCTCTGGTCTCAGGAGTTCTTGGGTCTCTACCCTCTGGAGGACATGTCTCTGATGGTGTCTCTCTCTCTGGTCTCAGGAGTTCTTGGGTCTCTACCCTCTGGAGGACATGTTTGTGATGGTGTCTCTCTCTCTCTGATGGTGTCTCACTCTGATGGTGTCTCTCTCTCTGATGGTGTCTCTCTCTCTGGTCTCAGCAGTACCTGGGTCTCTACCCTCTGGAGGACATGTTGGTGATTGTGTCTCTCTCTGATGGTGTCTCACTTTCTGATGGTGTCTCTCTCTCTGATGGTGTCTCAATCTCTGATGGTGTCTCTCTCTCTGATGGTGTCTCACTCTCTGATGGTGTCTCTCTCTCTCTCTGATGGTGTCTCCCTCACTGATGGTGTCTCTCTCTCTGATGGTGTCTCTCTCTCTGGTCTCAGGAGTACCTGGGTCTCTACCCTCTGGAGGACATGTCTCTGATGGTGTCTCTCTCTCTGGTCTCAGGAGTTCTTGGGTCTCTACCCTCTGGAGGACATGTCTCTGATGGTGTCTCTCTCTCTGGTCTCAGGAGTTCTTGGGTCTCTACCCTCTGGAGGACATGTCTCTGATGGTGTCTCTCTCTCTGGTCTCAGGAGTTCTTGGGTCTCTACCCTCTGGAGGACATGTCTCTGATGGTGTCTCTCCCTCTGGTCTCAGGAGTTCTTGGGTCTCTACCCTCTGGAAGACATGTCTCTGATGGTGTCTCTCTCTCTGGTCTCAGGAGTTCTTGGGTCTCTACCATCTGGAGGACATGTCTCTGATGGTGTCTCTCTCTCTGGTCTCAGGAGTTCTTGGGTCTCTACCCTCTGGAGGACATGTCTCTGATGGTGTCTCTCTCTCTGGTCTCAGGAGTACCTGGGTCTCTACCCTCTGGAGGACATGTCTCTGATGGTGTCTCTCTCTCTGGTCTCAGGAGTACCTGGGTCTCTACCCTCTGGAGGACATGTCTCTGATGGTGTCTCTCTCTCTGGTCTCAGGAGTTCTTGGGTCTCTACCCTCTGGAGGACATGTCTCTGATGGTGTCTCTCTCTCTGGTCTCAGGAGTACCTGGGTCTCTACCCTCTGGAGGACATGTCTCTGATGGTGTCTCTCTCTCTGGTCTCAGGAGTACCTGGGTCTCTACCCTCTGGAGTACATGTCTCTGATGGTGTCTCTCTCTCTGGTCTCAGGAGTACCTGGGTCTCTACCCTCTGGAGGACATGTCTCTGATGGTGTCTCTCTCTCTGGTCTCAGGAGTACCTGGGTCTCTACCCTCTGGAGGACATGTCTCTGATGGTGTCTCTCTCTCTGGTCTCAGGAGTACCTGGGTCTCTACCCTCTGGAGGACATGTCTCTGATGGTGTCTCTCTCTCTGGTCTCAGGAGTACCTGGGTCTCTACCCTCTGGAGGACATGTCTCTGATGGTGTCTCTCTCTCTGGTCTCAGGAGTACCTGGGTCTCTACCCTCGGGAGGACATGTCTCTGATGGTGTCTCTCTCTCTGGTCTCAGGAGTACCTGGGTCTCTACCCTCTGGAGGACATGTCTCTGATGGTGTCTCTCTCTCTGGTCTCAGGAGTACCTGGGTCTCTACCCTCTGGAGGACATGTCTCTGATGGTGTCTCTCTCTCTGGTCTCAGGAGTACCTGGGTCTCTACCCTCTGGAGGACATGTCTCTGATGGTGTCTCTCTCTCTGGTCTCAGGAGTACCTGGGTCTCTACCCTCTGGAGGACATGTCTCTGATGGTGTCTCTCTCTCTGGTCTCAGGAGTACCTGGGTCTCTACCCTCTGGAGGACATGTCTCTGATGGTGTCTCTCTCTCTGGTCTCAGGAGTACCTGGGTCTCTACCCTCTGGAGGACATGTCTCTGATGGTGTCTCACTCTCTGGTCTCAGGAGTACCTGGGTCTCTACCCTCTGGAGGACATGTCTCTGATGGTGTCTCTCTCTCTGGTCTCAGGAGTACCTGGGTCTCTACCCTCTGGAGGACATGTCTCTGATGGTGTCTCTCTCTCTGGTCTCAGGAGTACCTGGGTCTCTACCCTCTGGAGGACATGTCTCTGATGGTGTCTCTCTCTCTGGTCTCAGGAGTACCTGGGTCTCTACCCTCTGGAGGACATGTTTCTGATGGTGTCTCTCTCTCTGGTCTCAGGAGTACCTGGGTCTCTACCCTCTGGAGGACATGTCTCTGATGGTGTCTCTCTCTCTGGTCTCAGGAGTACCTGGGTCTCTACCCTCTGGAGGACATGTCTCTGATGGTGTCTCTCTCTCTGGTCTCAGGAGTACCTGGGTCTCTACCCTCTGGAGGACATGTCTCTGATGGTGTCTCTCTCTCTGGTCTCAGGAGTTCTTGGGTCTCTACCCTCTGGAGGACATGTCTCTGATGGTGTCTCTCTCTCTGGTCTCAGGAGTACCTGGGTCTCTACCCTCTGGAGGACATGTCTCTGATGGTGTCTCTCTCTCTGGTTTCAGGAGTACCTGGGTCTCTACCCTCTGGAGGACATGTCTCTGATGGTGTCTCTCTCTCTGGTCTCAGGAGTACCTGGGTCTCTACCCTCTGGAGGACATGTCTCTGATGGTGTCTCTCTCTCTGGTCTCAGGAGTACCTGGGTCTCTACCCTCTGGAGGACATGTCTCTGATGGTGTCTCTCTCTCTGGTCTCAGGAGTACCTGGGTCTCTACCCTCTGGAGGACATGTCTCTGATGGTGTCTCTCTCTCTGGTCTCAGGAGTACCTGGGTCTCTACCCTCTGGAGGACATGTCTCTGATGGTGTCTCTCTCTCTGGTCTCAGGAGTACCTGGGTCTCTACCCTCTGGAGGACATGTCTCTGATGGTGTCTCTCTCTCTGGTCTCAGGAGTACCTGGGTCTCTACCCTCTGGAGGACATGTCTCTGATGGTGTCTCTCTCTCTGGTCTCAGGAGTACCTGGGTCTCTACCCTCTGGAGGACATGTCTCTGATGGTGTCTCTCTCTCTGGTCTCAGGAGTACCTGGGTCTCTACCCTCTGGAGGACATGTCTCTGATGGTGTCTCACTCTCTGGTCTCAGGAGTACCTGGGTCTCTACCCTCTGGAGGACATGTCTCTGATGGTGTCTCTCTCTCTGGTCTCAGGAGTACCTGGGTCTCTACCCTCTGGAGGACATGTCTCTGATGGTGTCTCTCTCTCTGGTCTCAGGAGTACCTGGGTCTCTACCCTCTGGAGGACATGTCTCTGATGGTGTCTCTCTCTCTGGTCTCAGGAGTACCTGGGTCTCTACCCTCTGGAGGACATGTTTCTGATGGTGTCTCTCTCTCTGGTCTCAGGAGTACCTGGGTCTCTACCCTCTGGAGGACATGTCTCTGATGGTGTCTCTCTCTCTGGTCTCAGGAGTACCTGGGTCTCTACCCTCTGGAGGACATGTCTCTGATGGTGTCTCTCTCTCTGATGGTGTCTCTCTCTCTGGTCTCAGGAGTACCTGGGTCTCTACCCTCTGGAGGACATGTCTCTGATGGTGTCTCTCTCTCTGGTCTCAGGAGTACCTGGGTCTCTACCCTCTGGAGGACATGTCTCTGATGGTGTCTCTCTCTCTGGTCTCAGGAGTTCTTGGGTCTCTACCCTCTGGAGGACATGTCTCTGATGGTGTCTCTCTCTCTGGTCTCAGGAGTTCTTGGGTCTCTACCCTCTGGAGGACATGTCTCTGATGGTGTCTCTCTCTCTGGTTTCAGGAGTACCTGGGTCTCTACCCTCTGGAGGACATGTCTCTGATGGTGTCTCTCTCTCTGGTCTCAGGAGTACCTGGGTCTCTACCCTCTGGAGGACATGTCTCTGATGGTGTTTCTCTCTCTGATGGTGTCTCACTCTCTGATGGTGTCTCTCTCTCTCTCTGATGGTGTCTCCCTCACTGATGGTGTCTCTCTCTCTGATGGTGTCTCTCTCTCTGGTCTCAGGAGTTCTTGGGTCTCTACCCTCTGGAGGACATGTCTCTGATGGTGTCTCTCTCTCTGGTCTCAGGAGTTCTTGGGTCTCTACCCTCTGGAGGACATGTCTCTGGCCCCTGACCCGCTGGTCCCTGAGCGTCTTCCTCTTGTGGCCTATAACCCTTGGACCGACCTCCGCCTCAGAGACGACGTGCACCTCCTCAACCTCAGCTTCCCCTACGGGCCCTTCCCCAAGGACTTCCAGGTCAGGGGTCAGAGTCAGGGGTCAGAGTCAGGGGTCAGAGGTCAGAGTTGGGTCAGGTCAGGAGACAGAGGTCAGGGGTCAGGAGTCAGAGGTCAGGAGTCAGGGGTCAGAGGCCAGACTTGGTCCAGACGTGTGTGTGTGTGTGTGTGTGTGTGTGTGTGTGTGTGTGTGTGTGTGTGTGTGTGTGTGTGTGTGTGTGTGTGTGTGTGTGTGTGTGTGTGTGTGTGTGTGTGTGTGTGTGTGTGTGTGTGTGTGTGTGTGTGTGTGTGTGTGTGTGTGTGTGCGCGATGAGAGTCGTCCCAGAGTTTACTGTTACATTGAAACAGGGCTTAGAATAGTGTTATTAAGAGACGTCCCCTTTTCTTATTTTTAACCAACAGCTTTGACCGGTTTACGCTGTGACGGTCAACCACCGGTTAAACGGTCACCCACCGGTTAAACTGTCACCCACCGGTTAAACTGTCAACCACCAGTTAAACGGTCAACCACTGGTTAAACGGTCACCCACCGGTTAAACGGTCACCCACCGGTTAAACTGTCACCCACCGGTTAAACTGTCACCCACCGGTTAAACGGTCACCCACCGGTTAAACTGTCAACCACCGGTTAAACTGTCAACCACCAGTTAAACGGTCAACCACCGGTTAAATGGTCAACCACCGGTTAAACTGTCACCCACCGGTTAAACTGTCACCCACCGGTTAAACTGTCACCCACCGGTTAAACTGTCAACCACCGGTTAAACTGTCAACCACCGGTTAAACTGTCACCCACCGGTTAAACTGTCACCCACCGGTTAAACTGTCAACCACCGGTTAAATGGTCAACCACCGGTTAAACTGTCACCCACTGGTTAAACGGTCACCCACTGGTTAAACGGTCAACCACCGGTTAAACTGTCACCCACCGGTTAAACTGTCACCCACCGGTTAAACGGTCAACCACCGGTTAAACGGTCAACCACCAGTTAAACGGTCAACCACCAGTTAAACTGCCAACCACCAGTTAAACGGTCAACCACCGGTTAAACGGTCAACCACCAGTTAAACTGCCAACCACCGGTTAAACGGTTAACCACCGGTTAAACGGTTAACCACCGGTTAAACGGTCAACCACCGGTTAAACGGTCAACCACCAGTTAAACTGCCAACCACCGGTTAAACGGTCACCCACCGGTTAAACTGTCACCCACCGGTTAAACTGTCACCCACCGGTTAAACGGTCAACCACCGGTTAAACTGTCAACCACCGGTTAAACTGTCAACCACCGGTTAAATGGTCAACCACCGGTTAAACTGTCACCCACCGGTTAAACGGTCACCCACTGGTTAAACGGTCAACCACCGGTTAAACTGTCACCCACCGGTTAAACTGTCACCCACCGGTTAAACGGTCAACCACCGGTTAAACGGTCAACCACCAGTTAAACGGTCAACCACCAGTTAAACTGCCAACCACCAGTTAAACGGTCAACCACCGGTTAAACGGTCAACCACCAGTTAAACTGCCAACCACCGGTTAAACGGTTAACCACCGGTTAAACGGTTAACCACCGGTTAAACGGTCAACCACCGGTTAAACGGTCAACCACCAGTTAAACTGCCAACCACCGGTTAAACGGTTAACCACCGGTTAAACGGTCAACCACCGGTTAAACGGTCACCGATTTACATCCTTAGTTCTGACCTGGTTTCCTTCCTTCTCAGCTGAGGATCCGGCAGCATTACTTTGCCGCAGTCTCGTACCTGGACTCTCAGGTGGGCCGGCTCCTCTCGGGTCTGGAGCAGATGGGACTGGACCACAACACCACCGTGGTCTTCACCTCGGATCACGGTGAGATTCAGAGACAGCAGAGGCTTTAAGGGTTTCCCAAACAGTCTATCAGAGCATACATTCTACAGTAAGGGACACGCCCACAGGACACGCCCACAGGACACGCCCACAAAACACGCCCACAAAACACGCCCGCAGGACACGCCCACAAGACACGCCCACAGGACACGCCCACAGGACACGCCCACAGGACACGCCCACAGGACACACTCAGAGGACACACTCAGAGGACACACTCACAAGACACGCCCACAGGACACACTCACAGGACACGCCCACAGGACACACTCACAGGACACGCCCACAGGACACGCCCACAGGACACGCCCACAGGACACACCCACAGGACACACTCAGAGGACACACTCACAAGACACGCCCACAGGACACACTCACAGGACACGCCCACAGGACACGCCCACAGGACACACCCACAGGACACGCCCACAGGACACGCCCACAGGACACGCCCACAGGACACACTCACAGGACACGCCCACAGGACACGCCCACAGGACACGCCCACAGGACACGCCCACAGGACACACTCACAGGACACGCCCACAGGACACACTCACAGGACACGCCCACAGGACACGCCCACAGGACACACCCACAGGACACACCCACAGGACACGCCCACAGGACACGCCCACAGGACACGCCCACAGGACACACTCACAGGACACACTCACAAGACACGCCCACAGGACACGCCCACAGGACACACTCACAGGACACGCCCACAGGACACGCTCTAAAGACACGCCCACAGGACACGCCCACAGGACACGCCCACAGGACACGCCCACAGGACACGCCCACAGGACACGCCCACAGGACACGCCCACAGGACACACTCAGAGGACACACTCACAAGACACGCCACAGGACACACTCACAGGACACGCCCACAGGACACGCCCACAGGACACGCTCTAAAGACACGCCCACAGGACATGCCCACAGGACACGCTCACAGGACACGCCCACAGGACACGCCCACAGGACACACTCACAGGACACACTCACAGGACACACTCACAGGACACGCCCACAGGACACGCCCACAGGACACGCCCACAGGACACGCCCACAGGACACGCCCACAGGACACACTCACAGGACCTGCCCACAGGACACGCCCACAGGACACGCCCACAGGACACGCTCACAGGACACGCCCACAGAACACGCCCACAGGACACGCTCACAGGACACGCCCACAGGACACGCTCACAGGACACGCCCACAGGACACGCCCACAGGACACGCCCACAGGACACACTCACAGGACACGCCCACAGGACACGCCCACAGGACACACTCACAGGACACACTCACAGGACACGCCCACAGGACACGCCCACAGGACACGCCCACAGGACAGACTCACAGGACACGCCCACAGGACACGCCCACAGGACACACTCACAGGACACACTCACAGGACACGCCCACAGGACACACTCACAGGACACGCCCACAGGACACACTCACAAGACACGCCCACAGGACACGCCCACAGGACACACCCACAGGACACGCCCACAGGATACGCCCACAGGACACGCCCACAGGACACGCCCACAGGACACGCCCACAGGACACGCCCACAGGACACACTCACAAGACACGCCCACAGGACACGCCCACAGGACACACTCACAAGACACGCCCACAGGACACACCCACAGGACACGCCCACAGGATACGCCCACAGGACACGCCCACAGGACACGCCCACAGGACACACTCACAAGACACGCCCACAGGACACGCCCACAGGACACACTCACAAGACACGCCCACAGGACACGCTCACAGGACACGCCCACAGGACACACTCACAAGACACGCCCACAGGACACGCCCACAGGACACACTCACAAGACACGCCCACAGGACACGCTCACAAGACACGCCCACAGGACACGCCCACAGGACACGCTCACAAGACACGCCCACAGGACACGCCCACAGGACACGCTCACAGGACACGCCCACAGGACACGCTCACAGGACACGCCCACAGGACACGCCCACAGGACACACTCACAGGACACGCCCACAGGACACGCCCACAGGACACACTCACAAGACACGCCCACAGGACACGCCCACAGGACACGCTCACAAGACACGCCCACAGGACACGCCCACAAGACACGCCCACAGGACACGCTCACAAGACACGCCCACAGGACACGCCCACAGGACACGCTCACAAGACACGCCCACAGGACACACTCACAAGACACGCCCACAGGACACGCCCACAGGACACAGGCTGGTCGTTGTGCTCTCTCCTCAGGCTGGTCGTTGTGCTCTCTCCTCAGGCTGGTCGTTGTGCTCTCTCCTCAGGCTGGTCGTTGTGCTCTCTCCTCAGGCTGGTCGTTGTGCTCTCTCCTCAGGCTGGTCGTTGTGCTCTCTCCTCAGGCTGGTCGTTGTGCTCTCTCCTCAGGCTGGTCGTTGTGCTCTCTCCTCAGGCTGGTCGTTGTGCTCTCTCCTCAGGCTGGTCGTTGTGCTCTCTCCTCAGGCTGGTCGTTGTGCTCTCTCCTCAGGCTGGTCGTTGTGCTCTCTCCTCAGGCTGGTCGTTGTGCTCTCTCCTCAGGCTGGTCGTTGTTCTCTCTCCTCAGGCTGGTCGTTGTGCTCTCTCCTCAGGCTGGTCGTTGTTCTCTCTCCTCAGGCTGGTCGTTGTGCTCTCTCCTCAGGCTGGTCGTTGTGCTCTCTCCTCAGGCTGGTCGTTGTGCTCTCTCCTCAGGCTGGTCGTTGGGGGAACACGGAGAATGGGCCAAATACTCGAACTTCGACGTCTCGACCCGAGTCCCACTGATGTTCTACGTCCCCAAAGACTCGGACCGAAGACCTGAGAGGTTCAGGTTCATTGATGTCTTCAGACCATACCCCAAGTTCACCAGTGAGTCTGGGACCAGAAAGAGACCAGAGAGAGAGACCAGAGAGAGAGACCAGAGAGAGAGACCAGAGAGAGAGACCAGAGAGAGAGACCAGAGAGAGACACCAGAGAGAGACCAGAGAGAGACCAGAGAGAGAGACCAGAGAGAGAGACCAGAGAGAGAGACCAGAGAGAGACCAGAGAGAGAGACCAGAGAGAGAGACCAGAGAGAGACCAGAGAGAGAGACCAGAGAGAGAGACCAGAGAGAGAGACCAGAGAGAGAGACCAGAGAGAGACCAGAGAGAGACCAGAGAGAGAGACCAGAGAGAGACCAGAGAGAGAGACCAGAGAGAGACCAGAGAGAGAGACCAGAGAGAGAGACCAGAGAGAGAGACCAGAGAGAGAGACCAGAGAGAGAGACCAGAGAGAGAGACCAGAGAGAGAGACCAGAGAGAGACCAGAGAGAGAGACCAGAGAGAGAGACCAGAGAGAGACCAGAGAGAGAGACCAGAGAGAGAGACCAGAGAGAGAGACCAGAGAGAGAGACCAGAGAGAGACCAGAGAGAGAGACCAGAGAGAGAGACCAGAGAGAGAGACCAGAGAGAGAGACCAGAGAGAGAGACCAGAGAGAGAGACCAGAGAGAGAGACCAGAGAGAGAGACCAGAGAGAGACCAGAGAGAGACCAGAGAGAGAGACCAGAGAGAGAGACCAGAGAGAGAGACCAGAGAGAGAGACCAGAGAGAGAGACCAGAGAGAGACCAGAGAGAGACCAGAGAGAGACCAGAGAGAGAGACCAGAGAGAGAGACCAGAGAGAGAGACCAGAGAGAGAGACCAGAGAGAGAGACCAGAGAGAGAGACCAGAGAGAGAGACCAGAGAGAGAGACCAGAGAGAGAGACCAGAGAGAGAGACCAGAGAGAGAGACCAGAGAGAGAGACCAGAGAGAGAGACCAGAGAGAGAGACCAGAGAGAGACCAGAGAGAGAGACCAGAGAGAGAGACCAGAGAGAGACCAGAGAGAGACCAGAGAGAGAGACCAGAGAGAGAGACCAGAGAGAGACCAGAGAGAGAGACCAGAGAGAGAGACCAGAGAGAGAGACCAGAGAGAGAGACCAGAGAGAGAGACCAGAGAGAGAGACCAGAGAGAGAGACCAGAGAGAGAGACCAGAGAGAGAGACCAGAGAGAGAGACCAGAGAGAGAGACCAGAGAGAGAGACCAGAGAGAGAGACCAGAGAGAGAGACCAGAGAGAGAGACCAGAGAGAGACCAGAGAGAGACCAGAGAGAGACCAGAGAGAGAGACCAGAGAGAGACCAGAGAGAGACCAGAGAGAGACCAGAGAGAGACCAGAGAGAGACCAGACCAGAGAGAGAGACCAGAGAGAGACCAGAGAGAGACCAGAGAGAGAGACCAGAGAGAGACCAGAGAGAGAGACCAGAGAGAGAGACCAGAGAGAGAGACCAGAGAGAGACCAGAGAGAGAGACCAGAGAGAGAGACCAGAGAGAGAGACCAGAGAGAGAGACCAGAGAGAGACCAGAGAGAGACCAGAGAGAGACCAGAGAGAGAGACCAGAGAGAGACCAGAGAGAGACCAGAGAGACCAGAGAGAGACCAGAGAGAGACCAGAGAGAGACCAGACCAGAGAGAGAGACCAGAGAGAGACCAGAGAGAGACCAGAGAGAGAGACCAGAGAGAGACCAGAGAGAGAGACCAGAGAGAGAGACCAGAGAGAGACCAGAGAGAGAGACCAGAGAGAGAGACCAGAGAGAGACCAGAGAGAGACCAGACCAGAGAGAGAGACCAGAGAGAGACCAGAGAGAGAGACCAGAGAGAGAGACCAGAGAGAGACCAGAGAGAGAGACCAGAGAGAGAGACCAGAGAGAGACCAGAGAGAGAGACCAGAGACCAGAGAGAGACCAGAGAGAGAGACCAGAGAGAGACCAGAGAGAGAGACCAGAGAGAGACCAGAGAGAGAGACCAGAGAGAGAGACCAAAGAGAGACCAGAGAGAGACCAGAGAGAGACCAGAGAGAGAGACCAGAGAGAGAGACCAGAGAGAGAGACCAGACAGAGAGACCAGAGAGAGAGACCAGAGAGAGAGACCAGAGAGAGACCAGAGAGAGAGACCAGAGAGAGAGACCAGAGAGAGAGACCAGAGAGAGACCAGAGAGAGAGACCAGAGAGAGAGACCAGAGAGAGAGACCAGAGAGAGAGACCAGAGAGAGACCAGAGAGAGAGACCAGAGAGAGAGACCAGAGAGAGAGACCAGAGAGAGACCAGAGAGAGACCAGAGAGAGACCAGAGAGAGACCAGAGAGAGACCAGAGAGAGAGACCAGACCAGAGAGAGAGACCAGAGAGAGACCAGAGAGAGACCAGAGAGAGACCAGAGAGAGAGACCAGAGAGAGAGACCAGAGAGAGAGACCAGTGAGAGACCAGAGAGAGAGACCAGAGAGAGACCAGAGAGAGACCAGAGAGAGAGACCAGTGAGAGACCAGAGAGAGACCAGAGAGAGAGACCAGTGAGAGACTAGAGAGAGACCAGAGAGAGAGACCAGAGAGAGAGACCAGTGATGAGGGATTCTTGTTTGCAGATGGTCAGGAGAGCGAGGAGCTGGTGGAGTTGGTGGATGTCTTCCCGACACTCGCACACCTCAGCGGGCTCCAGGTCCCCAAGCCCTGTCCTGAGGTCAGCTTTAAGGTACCAGGAAACAGATCCAACATGGCCGACACACAACCACAGCCGAGACAGGAAACAGATCCAACATGGCCGACACACAACCACAGCCGAGACAGGAAACAGATCCAACATGGCCGACACACAACCACAGCTGAGACAGGGAACAGATCCAACATGGCCGACACACAACCACAGCCGAGACAGGAAACAGATCCAACATGGCCGACACACAACCACAGCCGAGACAGGAAACAGATCCAACATGGCCGACACACAACCACAGCCGAGACAGGAAACAGATCCAACATGGCCGACACACAACCACAGCCGAGACAGGAAACAGATCCAACATGGCCGACACACAACCACAGCCGAGACAGGAAACAGATCCAACATGGCCGACACACAACCACAGCCGAGACAGGAAACAGATCCAACATGGCCGACACAGGAGCCCTGTCAGATTTACTTCTGACATGCAGTTGTGACTGAGTAGGATTTGTTAAAGTTGTAGTTTGAGAACAAGGTATTCAGACAGAAGGGGTGGGGGTCTCTGTCTGCAGGTGGAACTGTGCTCAGAGGGACAGAACCGAGCCCAAGAGAAGAAGAACCAGGAGCAGGTGGCCTTCAGTCAGTATCCGAGACCATCGGATACTCCACAGGTCTGAGCCAGGTCTAAACTACGTCTGAGCCTGGTCTGAGCCAGGTCTGAGCCAGGTCTTAACCCGGTCTAACCCAGGTCTGGTCTGCAGGTGAACTCTGACCTCCCAGATCTGCGTGACATCAGGGTGATGGGCTTCTCTCTGCGCTCTCAGGATCACAGATACTGTCTCTGGCTCGGCTTTGACCCCGGCACGTACCAGGTGAGGCACGTACCAGGTGAGGCAGATACCAGGTGAGGCAGGTACCAGGTGAGGCACGTACCAGGTGAGACAGGTACCAGGTGAGGCACGTACCAGGTGAGGCACGTACCAGGTGAGGCAGGTACCAGGTGAGGCAGGTACCAGGTGAGGCACGTACCAGGTGAGGCACGTACCAGGTGAGGCAGATACCAGGTGAGGCAGGTATCAGGTGAGCCAGGTACCAGATGAGGCAGGTACCAGGTGAGGCACGTACCAGGTGAGGCACGTACCAGGTGAGGCAGGTACCAGGTGAGGCACGTACCAGGTGAGGCAGGTACCAGGTGAGGCACGTACCAGGTGAGGCAGGTACCAGGTGAGCCAGGTACCAGGTGAGGTTAGCGTTACGAATAACAAAGGAATGAGACTTTCTGGTTTAAACTATTTCTTTAACCAGCAATGACAACTGTGAGACAAGCGAGCTGTCAATCACAGCTCAGACCACGCCCAATTCTTGTCCCTTGGTCCTCAAGGCCACGCCCTTTTTAGAGAAAATGTTTAAATGTTCATGTGGGCGGAGTCAGGCTATTCATGTGGGCGGAGTCAGGCCGTTCATGTGGGCGGAGTCAGGCCGTTCATGTGGGCGGAGTCAGGCCGTTCATGTGGGAGGAGTCAGGCCGTTCATGTGGGCGGAGTCAGGCCGTTCATGTGGGCGGAGTCAGGCCGTTCATGTGGGCTGAGTCAGGCCGTTCATGTGGGCTGAGTCAGGTCAGGCCGTTCATGTGGGCGGAGTCAGGCCGTTCATGTGGGCTGAGTCAGGTCAGGCCGTTCATGTGGGCGGAGTCAGGCCGTTCATGTGGGCGGAGTCAGGCCGTTTATGTGGGCGGAGTCAGGCCGTTCATGTGGGCGGAGTCAGGCCGTTCATGTGGGCGGAGTCAGGCCGTTCATGTGGGCGGAGTCAGGCCGTTCATGTGGGCGGAGTCAGGCCGTTCATGTGGGCGGAGTCAGGCCGTTTATGTGGGCGGAGTCAGGCCGTTTATGTGGGCGGAGTCAGGCCGTTCATGTGGGCGGAGTCAGGCCGTTTATGTGGGCGGAGTCAGGCCGTTTATGTGGGCGGAGTCAGGCCGTTCATGTGGGCGGAGTCAGGCCGTTCATGTGGGCGGAGTCAGGCCGTTCATGTGGGCGGAGTCAGGCCGTTCATGTGGGCGGAGTCAGGCCGTTTATGTGGGCGGAGTCAGGCTGGAGATCCTGGAGACATTTACAGCCCAGTCCTAACATCTAAGGGAGAGAACCCCTCAGGGTCAGAGGGAGAGAACCCCTCAGGGTCAGAGGGAGAGAACCCCTCAGGGTCAGAGGGAGAGACCCCCTCAGGGTCAGAGGGAAAGAACCCCTCAGGGTCAGAGGTAGAGAACCCCTCAGGGTCAGAGGGAGAGAACCCCTCAGGGTCAGAGGGAGAGACCCCCTCAGGGTCAGAGGGAGAGAACCCCTCAGGGTCAGAGGGAGAGAACCCCTCAGGATCAG